TATTTGTCTGATTTTTACGGAGGGGGCGGAGGTGGTTTACGGGCTTACCACGTGGTCCTGGGTACTGGGTTCCCTTCAGCCCCCCCCCCACGGCCTATCTAGCCGAGATGGCAAACAGGTACCAGATTCGTCTGGGAGGATAAGAACACTGACTTGTACATCGGCTGGCCCCGCAAGTCATTGTATAGGCCACATCGCATTCAATAAGCCACTACGATTCTGAATGGAAGTAGAATGCGTGCCGCAACCCAGGGATTGATCAACGGCTGAAGACTATCTGTTTTCCTTTTATGTTAGAGCCTTACGTATGCAACTTGCAAAATGCCCCCTTCCAAGGGAAGTTGCATTCAAAGTGACTGATCGCTATGGACAAGCGCGTCCTTAATCGACTCCCTGAACAAAGATTGAAATACTGAAACTGGGAAACATCAGTTCTAGTGCACTGATCATGTTTTTCAATTATAACTTTGATGTGGACAGGCCCAACCGAAAACCACCGGTTTAGGTCATTATCACTACGACACTACTCCGGATACGGTCGTCTATGAAGGATACTTCACGGCAGCCGAGAAGATCTACCGATTCGATGAAGTATAAAAGTATATTTAATGTCATTTATCTGACTATTATTTCATTCCTGTGATCGCGGTTCCATTATCGTTGTGAATTTCATACGTTTCTCTTTGAAAACTTAGAAGTGTTATTAATTTCTGAACGAAGCCGCCCTGAAGTTCTCGCAGATAGTTTTCTTTCACTGGGGTGGTGTTCTAGGTCCTCATATGACTGACCTTACGTGTTTCTTTTATTACCCTTGATAGACTTATCATATTGCTCATTCGCCTTCATTAGTGACAGATTGGTGTTTTCCTATATTGCTCATAAATTATTTCACTGTTTTTTTTTGCACCTCCGTAGAATTCCATTCGGACCAACCAGGCCTTTGTGCAGATACACTTGCATGTCTCAAATCTCATGTAATACAAGCACGTTGGCAGCAGGGTGGGTCGTACGCTAGGAGAATCACTAGCGGCTCTAGTATTTGGTCGCTGGAGGGAGGGGATCATATTTAACCTGAGAAATTTTTTGATAACTGGGTTTGTCCTGTGTCACGAGCGCTATTCATAAAGCGTCCCTTGGGGAGGGGGGGACGTATTTGCTAATCGCTTTGATGAGAAGTCGTATCTGACGACAAGAAAACCCTTCTTCCTCTTTCGCTCGATGGCGAAATTTGGGGAAATGCTGGTAGGAAGCTGGAAAAAATTAGTAAGATTGTATAGCATTGGGAAGGGAGAGGTTGGCGGGGGTGGGTAGAAGTGACGCACTGAGCCTATTATATTAGGTTGTCCGGAAAGTTCTCAGCGTTTTGGGTGTTTCACTTTAAACGATCGTAACTTTTTTAATACTCATCGGATTTAATCGAAATAGGCACCATTCGAATCAGCACACTTTTGCCAATGTGACAGCAGTCGAGAAATCCCATCAAAGTAAAAAACTGGGTGGTCAAAAATTCGAAATCCACGAAGGCTTTTTTGCCTGGTCCTGTTTGATGAAGTATTTCCCAGCAAGGAAGTTCTGAAAATGTTGAAAAGGGAATATTCGGTTGGTGGAAGGTCTGGAGAATATGGCGGTTGAGGTAGAACTTCAACCCCCAATTCGTTCAATTTATGGATAGTGATTTGTGAAACATGTGGGCGGGCGTTGTCATGCAAAAGAATCGGACCCTTTCTTTTGATAAGTGTTGGCTGCATCTGACAAAATTTTCGGTACATTTCGTCGATTTCTTCACAGTAGGGTTCTGCTGTGATGGTTTGGCCTGGTGATAAAAAGTTATAGTGGATCACACCAGCCGATGACCACCAAGCCGTGACCAGAATCTTTTTTTCGTGAGGGTTCGGCTTTGAAAATTACCACGGTGGTTCGTCTAAATTCAACCACTGTCTGGACCGTCTCCTGTTATCATACATGACCCATTTTTCATCACAGGTGACAATTCGGTCCAAAAAAGGTCGTTTCTGTTGCGCAAAAGCAGTGAAGAAGGAACCTCGAGACGTGCCGATTCCTGCCGGTCACTCCGATTGTGGGGCACCCAATTGTCGAGTTTTTTCACCTTCCCAATGCGTTCCAGACCATCTGCAACAGTGGATTTGCCAAGGCCTAGCTCTTCTGCTATCTCTCGAACTGTTTGGGATGGGTCAGCCTCCAAAATCCCCTCAAATCCTCGTCAGATATTGCTTTAGGTCGACCGCTATGAGGTTCAACTTCAGGCTGAAATCTCCAGAACGAAATTTGTTGAGCCATTGCCGCACAGTGCTTCTCTATTACTGGGCCACACCTGGTTAATTTGTTGAGCTGTTTCGATTGCGGATTGCCCCAATTTATAGTCGAAGAAAAAAATCGTCCGAAGTGCTCTTTTCACATGCTTGAAAAAATCTTGGAAAAAGGGGTTTATTAAGCAATGGTGAAACGGCAATTATACCATCAGATAGCGCAAGAAATTCTCTACAGGATGTGCTACTGAGAAGCAAGGCAGAATGAGTTTTTAATCAGCAGTGAATGTACAAAATTAGGTGCACAAAACGCTAAGAACTTTCCGGACAACCTAATATTTGTAATTCATTACGCATCTTAGAAGTAATTGTATAAGTCAAAAAGCATCAAGTTAAATTCGCGTATATCTAGGTTCAAGTGCTTTGCGTTAACAGACTGGAAACAGAACTGCCGCGAAGAATTGCGTTTTTTGGTTATAGTGATATAGAAATAAATGGCATTCGGAGTCCTGCTCGAGCATGCCCATACAGATATCTAGGCCAGACCGTACGGGATTCAGTGAGACTGCGATCCAGCTGGCAAAATTTAAGAGAGTGGGGTTCGAACCCACGAGGACTTACGTCCATTGGAACTTAAGTCCAACGCCTTAACCACTCGGCCATCGCGCTACAATCTCGTCGCCGTTCATGTGTCTACAAGTGGCATTGAGTTCGATCAGGCGACAATAACTTCATTTCTGCAAAATGCTTCCAAGCCAGAAGCTGAACACGTGATGGCTGGAACCGTAGCCTTAGAACCTAAACCACTTGGCCAACGCACTGCAGCGTACAGCCCGAATATGTTTTGCAACATTTTGGCAAAAATTCGATATGTCGGTTATCATATCCACAACTGCAAAACTTTAGCGTGATGCTGCACTCCGCGTTTCCAAGTAAATGGAAGGTCTAACCTGCTAATAAGTTGGGAGGGAGGTCTTTGCCATCACATGGCGTTTGCTTGAGTGAAGGGCGAGTTACTTGTTTTCAGCGCGATTTCCGAGATTTTGTCCGAGCAATCTTTGATCTACATCATCTTCGATTTATCGTGCATTCCCATTTGCCCAGTGCCACATTTCGGGCTGAACCTTTAATTATCCCTCATGGTTCCTCATGGGTATCTCATCCTTTTACCTGATTTTGAATACCTTACTTGAGCTCAATAATGTTTTGTTTCATTGCTCGCTTCCTTTTTTTCAAATCGACTACTTGATTTCATGCAACCTTTTCGTGAAGTCGCACTCAACTCACGCTTACTGTAGTGGCTTAGCAGAGGCATTGTCGTAGATAGACATTGCTTCTCTATTATTGTTATTACTTATGGTCGTGGACGTGTTCACCGCTGCCCCTTCAGTACTCTCATTCATTTTTTTTCTTATATCAGACAATTTCATTCAATTTTTGTGGCATGAGACGCCTTTACTGATTCCACCATCGGAAGAATCCTATGGAGGCCTATCCCATTTGCTCGGTTCTCCAGGAAGATAGGGCAAGAACGCTCACATTTTTGCTCTGGTTCCCTCGTTGTGACTCTGCGTACCATAAATTAGCTTTTCTTTGGATGCACCTCAGGAGATCCACGTTGTGGCACTGTGAATTAGATGACACCTGCGCGTCAT